ATATTAATATTTAGTTTTTATTAAAAGTAGCAATATACAAAATCTTCTTTATTCCTCATTTCAATACAACAAATCCCAATTTCGGGCGACTTCGACATTCTCGTTTTTTTCTTTTTCCGAAACAAACATTAATAGATCAATACATCCTTCCTTGATTCTTATATCAAAATTAGATTAGATTATATCATATAAAAATATTATGCTGCGCTGTATATTATAAAACGCTTCATCTGCCGCCACGCAGGTCGATGGACCGATTGTTTACATGCAATAATGACACATTCATCGATTAATTAATTTATCATTAAGCTGCTGCACCTGCGCTCGATGGGCGGGCACGTCCCCGGATTTATTACACAAGAAATAATATTATAAACACTATAGCACAGAAAGAAAAAAAAAACGCGAAACACATACACATAAATTAACACTTTCCATTCGCCTCTCCTACGACACTACAAATTCATTTGAATCCGAACTCTCATCATTTTTCCTTGGAATGTATAATTTATAGTACAATTATATATAGCGCGGTTTCTTTTTCACCGTTTTGTAAGAAATCCCTTCTCGAAAGATTGAGCTGTTATTTCCTGAGGTATCCGCGCGTTTACACATTTGCGCCTCACTCTAACATTAATCTTACTAATCGCGACGGAAACGGAGTTCACCCGAAAAATAATAAGGTGCGTGAGAAGCGCGACGCATTTAAATTACAATTGCTATTTTGCATTCTATTTGTCCATCTTCCGGCTTTTCCACATTGTGTGTGCATCGCGCGCACATTCTTTTTAAAATTAATTTAAATTTCGAACTTGGAAACATCTACTTTATTCTTAAAGTTGCCGCTATTTATCGTTTCTATGTTCTTTCCTCGGACGAACTCCTCGATTATTTTCCGTATTCCTTAGTGACAATCCTAAAGTATCCTAAGAGAGTGTCTCTTCTGTACCGAGAGGTTTGCGATTTTACGTCGGCATCGCTAAAGCGAAAAAACATAATTTCCTGATATTTTGAGTGTGAAAGAGAGAACACAATAGTGCGACGTATTTATACTTATTGATACATGATGGAAACGATTTGCGCATTTGCCATTATAGCTACTGAATTAAAATGATATCACGTCTTAGACAAGGTTTCACTTTTTTTCATCTTTTTAAAGACTTGAGGAAATTAATAAAGCTGAGAAAAAATTCAATCGATATTATAATCAGTTGGAATAAAACTAGATCTAATTTCAACAAATTTAATTAACTGACTTAATTTTAATTTGAGATATAGAATGGAATTAAATGAGATGTAGCATTTAAATTTAAATTTTCGCAACTTGAGATTAATTTTCTGAAATTTTTAAAAAATGGATTAGATCGCTAAACCCTCTAATAGAAGAATACCTTCAAATTTTATAAGTAATCGCAAATTTATCGTTAAGACGAAAAAAAATCGTTATGCAACGATACGATCTGTGGACTATAAATTTTTTCGAGATTCTTCTCAGAAGTCTTATTTTTTTCTTTTTTTTTAAATCCATCTATCATTTTTCACGGAAATTTAAAAATCAAGAAAATTAAAGTCACTAAAGACATTGAAAACTAAAATGGATTAATCTATAATTTGCATAAGATTCTTAAATACTGAGTCGTATTTGAAGTTAATCCTACAAATTATGAGCTTAATCCATTTTAACGATTTATATAAATCGTTTTAAACTATCTAAAGCTGAATAAGTTAGATAGAAAAGAATGAGTCCACAGTTTGCTATAATATTAATGGTTCGTAGTATTTTCTCTGCTTCATTTCTGACGCAGTTAGAAAATATACCTGCGATACGCAATTTCGAAGATTTACGGCGCATTCTCGTAAACGCAACGGACTCCAAGTCGCGTAAGTTTCGCAAGCGAGGTCGAGCGCAATTGATTATACGCAATGCCTGATTTTAGGCTGATCTTATTTTCGTTTTTCTTTTCTTTTTCAAGAGAAAAGGAGAGAGAAGTATGTCATGTTATTTGCTGAATGCAAAAAATGTCAAGTGAATAGGGACTAGAGAAAAGTGATAGTGGAAAACTGATTTTACAGTTTGAAGGTGTATATATATCTTCTCTCTTCCCGACGTAAATCGATTCTCGTTAACCGAAACGCTCGAGAACGCTAATTAGAAACTCTATGTTTGTCGTCGTTGTCATCGTTCTTCTCCTCGCATGCGTATTTCCCTCTCTTTTAAACGCTAATTTCCGCGACTATACCTATATTACCCGTATACGCTAAACCTTGCACGGGATCAGTGCGTATTTCACGTAGGAACATTGACAGATTTCTTCTCAGGACTAGGCAAAGAAACCGTCGATTATTGATCGGCAAAGGAATATAACGATCTTGCCGTATAGTATGCAGGGTGTTTCCATCTCGAATTCCGTGGTCGCATATTTTCGAAAATCAATATAAATATTGATATATACATTGGAAAAAATTGAAACATATTTTCTCGAAATCATAACGCTGTTTTTCTAAATTTTTGTTATTTTCAAAGTAAATTTGACTTTTTGATTAAACTTGTTTTTCTTCATACTTTACTCTTTTTTAAGTTCCTGGATTACGAGATACCCTGTGTAAGAGACGAAGTGCCAACGATTTTCGAACAAATGCTTTTTGAACGCGAAGATGTTTATGCTGCTTCGTTGATATATTCACGATTATACGTACGTGTAGATTTTATCCGCAGCGACAATGGATATATTACATATGATATGCGGTCAGTCGTGCACACTTCATGCTTACATTTGTTTATTTTCCTTGGCAAATATCGTTTTGAAACTCTGCTAATCAGAATTGTTTCTGTGGATAACGATCATCGCTATCACAAAAAAAAATATCTTTTGCCTCTTTTGGAAACGTAGTCTCTAGAGAGGCATAATTGCAGGCACAATTAGATTAAAGAGATATGCAGCATTTAGACAACATAAAAACTTAAAGAACTTTGTAGAAATTCATACTCAAATAAGTCCTAATTTTTTCGAATGAAAAAATTTCATCTTATCTTTAAAGTCTTTTAAATTTTTCTGAAGTTAAGATTATGTTAATTGTCGTTATCAATGAGATTTAATATGAATGAAATTCTTTAAAAATTAACGCCGTCACTAATATAATAATAATTATATTGATGCTGTCTTAACAAAATACAGCATTTCATAATTTTTAATGAAATGTTGTTTAGGATTCTGTTACTAAAAATTTTAGACTTTTTCTGCTAAAGTAATTAACTTTATACACTTTACACACAAGATTTCTATAGATATTGGAACTAAAGTTCAAGAGTTATTCTTTTAAACAGTAAAATATTGTCAAAATCTATAGATCTATAGACTATTATTATGTGTATCATTTTATATAGTTAATCAGTTTCGCGGCATATCATCTTCATCTAATTGTTTTTGCAATTGTTATCGTACAACCCATATGACGATCCGATAACATGATCGTCCTGAAAAATCTTGGGAACTTTCTGTTTTAGATCATCGTTATTATTACTATTGAGCGAAAAAAATAAAATGGACAATAGAACTAGATTTGCGAAATATAAGAATATTTCGCAAATACATGGATATAATATTGAATTGCTTGGTTGAATTGTCCGTTTTTTATTTTCATTAACTTATTCCTCCTCTTAATGTTCCGATCTATCTCGCGAGCGCACAAATAATTTACGCTTAAAAAGATTTCGCAAAAGACTTAGTCAAGAACTCTTCGCAGTAAAATCTTTCGTTAGGCATGTTCGATCCACTTGATCGCGCGATTCGGCCCTCTTTATTTTCATTCTTTACACAAAAATCTGACGAAATCTTCTCGGGACTAACGATTGTGGATTTATATGAACGCGCGATTCAAGGATTTCACAAGAGAACCGATTTTCTTTCCTCTAGAAAATAAGTAATAATCGTATTCTTCGATTTTAATTCTCGATATGTATAATACGTTACATTGATATTTGAATAATAATGCGCGTAACTCAAGAACTAATTTACCTAACGCTTTCATTCCTTTGTTCCAAAAAAAAATTAACAAAAATAACGTTTAAAAATTCGAATAAATTATTACCGAGAACGAAATATATCTATGTCTATAAAACAATCGTTTTGCGAAATCGACTGCGACCAACGGAGCTCTCTGCGTGCGAGGAAGAATCGGAAGAATCTAAACTTGGCAATATATCGTTTTTAAATGCGTAGACTCTATATAAATCATATTTGCATATGTCGTCCAAATTATCACAATCGTATTTTTATGTCATAAATAAATCTTAGAAAAAAATTGCATTATATTAAAATAATACTTTTATATTTGAATATCATTTTGTAAATTTATGAATATTTTATATATAGCTTTTACATATATATATATATATAATTTTTTTATATTTTTCGCTATAATACAATTTCAAATTCGTTTCTTTGACTCTGCCAAGTTTAGAATTAATTTAACAAAGATCCTATTTTATAATTCACACGACGATCGTCGTCGTGAATTATAATTTGATATTGATACTCGACTGGCTCCTCAAAAAGTATCGGTTACGCGGAGAGTACATGGAATATTTGCGCTATTCGTTTTACACCGTTCTGTCTTCAACACATGCTTTGTACGAAAAGTTCTTGCGGTCTATTGTTTGACGTGCGTCCAGCGTCTTTCGCGAAATAATTAATAAATACTTTGCAACTTATACTTACTTTGTAAAACTCGAGATCGCAACCTCACGCAAAATCTACCGCAACTGCATTTAGTTGTCGCGCGACGTTGAATCATTGATTATCATCGAATTGCTTAAGATCGATTAAGAATTAAGAAATAATTTCAATTAAGAATACAGTTTTGGTCGACCCGCGGTTGCATTCGAGCTTAGTCTGAATTAAATATATGTAAATTTTTGCTAGGACGAAAGGCCGCTGAACACACGGGACATCCCTCGCCCATCGCATTTTATTTTATAAATTTCTAATAGCTGATGTGAACTCCTTTTTGATTTTTTTTTTTTTTAGATTTTACTCGAAACATTTATGCCCGATACGCATTTCATGCACACATACGCACATTCACTCACACGTACTGATCATCCGGTCATCAAGCGAACCACGATATAATAAAGAGGACACCCGCGTCGACGTTTCGCAAAAGTTTCAAATATAATTTCACATGATTTTTTTTTCGCCACGCAACTGACGCGTTTTGTTTGTTTTATTAATTGAAATCGATTATATCGTTAGTACTCATGTAGAAAAATTTATTAACAAGAACGGAACGATTGCGACGCGAATGTCCATCTTAGCTAACGAACAAAGACTGCGAAAATAATAACGACTACCCTAAATCCTAAGGCACCTTTCGGCCGCGCGCCGAGAACAGCGAAAAAAAATGAGGAAAAAAAATAATACAGCCAGTTCTCGGCAAAAATAACTTTCTCCTGATATTTAAGTAACTTCAAATCATCAACATGCAAATTATTTGGCTATTCGTACCGCATCTGTCGAATTCTCACGAGCTGAATAGCCGACATAGCCCTTTTTAGTTTTCCGTAAATCCACGTTTATTCCGTCCGAACGATCAGTATAACGGCGTAATGGTCCCCACAATTACGCACACGATCAACATTATTAAGTACGTATGTATATCTGTTTCCATAATTACAATTGGTGTGCAACGGATCTTTGAAATCGGGTCTTGATAGTGCTGACACGCCATTACGTTCGGGACGGATAACATACACGCGATTATTTTTCTTTTACCATTTAGTGTCCAAATTACATTTCCCAATCGCCGACGTTGGCGCCGACGACGAGGATGCCTTCCGTTCAGCGCCGGGCGCAGCACTTCCAGAGAACGGACTAGTTCGTTTGTTCATTTCTGAAAGAAAGTTATTAAGGTTAATAGAAAATTAGTTTCGAGTACAGAAAAAAAATAGAATAGGTTCAATTTTCGGGAGCAAAAATAGTCCGTTATTTTTTTCTCATTAATTATATATACCTAGATAATTTTAAATTATCACATGCAAGTATTTGATTAATCAAATAGTTATTTGACTAGTTAAATAGCTTCACAAAGATTTCGAGAGAGAAAGAGCTTTATAGAATTACGGAGATTTTAACAATCCCATATTACGGAGATTTTGACAATCCCATAGTAGTAATAGTAGTAATAATTGATGCAAAGATCAGCTTTCTCAAAATCTTTGTTTTGCTGTTAGATTATGAAAATCCATTTTGGACTGCTCGAAGTTAATTGAGCTGCCCTGCGTGTAAAGTATTACGTACCAGATATTAATAGCATTATTTTGCGCCTTGCACCCCAAGCGCCAATTCCAATTTCACAAAGATCCTTCTCTGTCAAGGATGGAAACGTGGCCATGTCCACCTCGTGAGACGTGAACAGGCCTAGCGAATGAAAAGAAAGAAAAAGAAAGCGGTACTACGTTTCCATTTTTTTTTTTCAAGCAAAAGCAGAAAATAGAATAAAGCAAAAGCAATAGAATTTAAGATAAAAAAGCAAAGCAATGGCATTCGATAGAATAAAGCGTGCAATTATAAAAGATATGATAAAAGATTGTAACTTGATTATATATACTCACGTATATATTTCTCCAAGCCGATACTAGTCAACATACTGCCCAGATCATTGAAACGATGGGACGATGTAATTTTATTCAAATGGGAAGTCGGCGTATGATCCATATAATTTGAGGCCATCCCGATCTGTCCAACACGATCCTTGCTCGAGATAATACTACCGAAATCCATCTCGGTACTGAACACCACCGGCGTGGTCGGTTCTTTCCATAAATCTGAAGGATGTGACGTCAGCTCCTGCATTCAAAAAATTTTATTGTCAGTCTTAATGTTTAATAACTATTAATTCGCTAAGAAAGATTTAAAGATTTGATTAAATGTTTATCGTCAAAATAGCTACTCGATTCAAATATTTAAAAGAAATGTTAATACTTTTTAAGATATCAATCTATAAAACTGAATATCAATATAAATCTTTAATTTTACTCTTGTCAAAAATATTGATTTTATTATTTTTTTTTTATACTCAAGAAATCTGATAGCTACCTTGCTTAAGTCACTCGTAGTTATTGGCGGAATACTTTGGCTAAGACCATAACCAGACCAAGCAGACGTTGGTACGCGGAAATCGTTGGTGTTTGATTTATTCTGCATTGCCTTTGTAGCCAATAGTTTCTTCTGCTCATAATCGAAGGGCGTGAGATTCTGCTGCGCAGCCATCTCAAGCGATTTCTTCTCACAACCAGGTGCACGTCGATCGGTAACCGGTAAATCGGACAACATGCTAGATAGATCCGCTGAAAGAAAAACAAACATTTATTTTTAACTTGTAAATAGCCTGATTATTAACAACAGCTAGATTGTTGACTTCTTGAAACATTTGACTTACCTAAGTTAGTATTAGTATCCGTAGGATTGACTGGTGAGATGTTACGAGGACTAATAGCAGGACTAGATAAAGAACTAGAAACGCTACTTAGCGAAGAATAAGCTGCAAATAAAGTCATTACATAAAAATTAAATCAATTTCGATGTATCTTATATAGAGCATTTAATACGAAAATAATATCAAGAAAAATCTACAATATTAATTATATTAAAGTACACTATACTTCCACTAGTTTATTTTTATGTAGTAAAGTATTTTCAGATTTAAGGTAAAACTTTATTGAAGCATATTTTTATATGTATACTTCGGTAATTTTTTCTTTCACTTCAGCTTTCAGAAAATAATATTATACATATGCATTAAAAATTTTTTATCGTTTACAAAAGTTTTTATACTTCTGTTATGAAAAAAACGTAATAATAAAAAAGTTAAATAACAAAAGTAGCATGTAAAATTTCGAGTGTAAAATAAACTCACCACTGCCACCATCTTTGCTATCCATTAACGAATTGGCGTTCAGACCGTGGATACCGGAAAAGTTGGTCGGTACATTGTTATGATGAAATGCTCCAATACCGGGAGGACCGGGAGGCATCACGTGGTTCGATAATCCATGGGGTCCGTGAGAAGTTCCCATTATATTGTTGTGTAGCATGTGTTGTGTCGTCAGCAGATGATTTATGTGAGAGTAAGGATACGGACACAGTGACGAAACATAATGATGAGTAAGGCCCCAATGTGGCGACAGACCCAGAGAATTCGGTGAGTGCGAAATCGGCGATACGCAATACGACGAATTTTGCGTGTTTACATTTAATATGCTCGAGAAATTTTCCTGTACGCCGCTAATCAAGTTGTTGTTGGAGCCTATAAATATTAAAGAATTTACATTAATATTAAAGAATAAAATAGTAATAAAAACATATATAAATACAATAAAAGAATAAACGTAAAGTGGAGTTGATTATTTCGTGTTTTCTAAAATTCTTCTTTAATTAGTGTTCAGCTCATTCAAGACATGAGTAAAATTTAGTGTCATATAATATCGCTACATTATAAAAAATTGTAGTAAAATTTATCAAACTATTTTGAACATCGTGTAGTTCTATGTATAAGAGCGACGGATTTATAATTGACAGGTCGCGAATTCAAACCCCATATCCTATATTTATGAAAAATTTCGTAATCTGTGCTGACTTACAGTCAGTAGGAGTTACAAAAGAATTCTTTGTAGATGACTCTTTGATTAGGTTTAGATACTCAGTCAGGGATTGATATGTTCCACTCGTTTCCCTTATTACTACTACTATTACTGTCAAAAAATTTACTTGTGAAAAATTTATTTATTGAAAATCATAAAAAAGCTATACCACTGCTCGACATTTGATTACTACTGTGTGATGATATCGTATTTCTTTCTGATTGATTTAACGAACAACACTTACTATCGTTATTGGAACTGCTCTGGAAAATATTGCCAGCATTCGGAATGTGATAAGTAACCGGTATTTCAGCGGTTACTATGGGCTCGTCCAGTCCCAGCAATTGTTTCCGCGCCTGGTAAATATTACTGGCCTTTCTCTCGATTCCCTTGATAATGACAGAGAGTGTACTCTGTTTCGGCTTATGACGTACGTTGATAAACACGTCCAAAGACTGCATTAGCTGGGAGATCTTTTCCGCATCCACTGAAGCAGTCATAGAATCTTCTGGCAGATCGAACATAAGTACCAGTGGCAACGAGCCCTAAACACGCAATTATCGGCATGATTACATACAAGTATCATAATTACATACTGTGTCAGTATTAAAAAATATTTACAGAAAACTGAATTGTAGAAAGAGAACACAAGTAGAAATAGTTTGTAATCAAATATACACAAATATATATTTTAAGGCTTTTAAGTTCTGATTATTTGACCTATTGCGAGTTATAAAACAGTTAAAAATTACTGAAATTGGGAGAAAACTGTAAAAATTAGAAGAATATTGTAAAAAGAAATTTTAAGTATAGAGAAGGAATAACTCTAAAAAAATTAAAATGTTTATAGGAGAAAAAGAGAACTCGTTTAGAAGAAAAAGAGATTAAAATTGGAAATTAATTCTAGACTATATATGAACGAATGTATAAACATACTTACTACTAATTGTTGTCTAGCCAAATATACATTATGTATATCGCCAGTAATAGTAACATTGCTTTTCTTGAGGCTAGGTATATTCGGATCGCCGGCATCAGGAAACATAATCTGCGTGGCAGTACGTTGCATAATCATCTTCAAATTGCTACTCTGTTTCCCTAAGACGATGCTATGGTGTTGAGGTGAGATCTCCATCGACATTTGTACTTGGATTTGACTCTACAAAAAGAAACAGAAAAACTTAGTGATTTATTTTCTGAATAAGGAATAGGAATTTGCGAAAAATATAACAAAAGTACTAGTAACTTTTTCCACATCGACTTTTCGGTAAAAATTAAGAAAGTAAGAAATTTATATATATTTTGGATATTTTTAATTATCCAAATATATTATAAATATTATAAAAAAACATTTAGAAAGAATTAACTGCAGTGTACGAACAAAACTATTTTTATAAGAAGTTAAAATAATTCGAGATTTAATTTTCCCAATTTTAAGAATAATTATTCAATCTCTTTCTTGAAAGGACAAGGTCGTTTGTCAATTATTTTTGCTACTCACAGCTAGATTTTTGCACATATGACGAATCAGTAATTGTGTCGCTTCTTTGACTTGAGAAACTTCCCACTCGCATCCTTTGACAACTACTAGGGTAGCGTGCAGCTTCGGTCTTGTACGAAACATCACCTGAACATTGAACTTATCTTGTATCTTCACCACGTACGGCGAAGTGCAGTCTGGCATGCTCTGCGAAGCGCCCATTATAGGCAGCTCAAAGGAAAAGATCAGTGGTGTCAGGTTCTAAAAAAAGATAAGAACGACGATAAGTCGACATTTCTCTCGAATGTTTTGTCTTGAGATGAGTATTCAACTGAGCGAATCAACAACGAATGACTTATGAATCTAAATTTTTACTAGAAAATGTAAAAATTCAAATGAGACATTTATCACATGTGTAAACAGAATATTCATTAGCACTCGATGTTCGTTCATTGTGTGTTCGTTCATGACCCACTTTTATATAGGATCTCCCAAAAATCTCCCACTACTTTTTTACTTTTGGGCAGAAATTTTTATTTTATCGTACAACACATAATAATATTTTAGATAACATTACATTCTTGGTATTCAAGCCTGAAATAGAAATTCTCAATTAACGCGGCGTTCGATTAATTGAGAAATAAGATTTTGACTTCTCTCGAAATGTAATGACATCTTGCATCTGTAGCATACAATTTTCGATCATACCGAAATATATATAAATGGATATCTGACGTAATGTTGTTTTCACAAGCTCAATTTCTAGTGTTCGGTAAAGTGATCACCGAGCGTTAAAGTGGTACATCTTTGAGATATCCTTAACGCACGTCTTGCGAGAAATCTTACCCTAACACGAGCGCGAGCGCGTTCAACGCTCTCCATCTCGCCAGCAATGGAGACTTGATTGCTCTTATCTTGGTGATTACTGCGATTGCTGTCTGGGAAATGGATGTGGCAACCAGTTTCCTCCATCACTCGTTTAATCGTCAGACCACCTTTGCCGATGATATGCGAATGATCGGTGTAACTAACATCCAGCTTCATGGTTACTCTGTTACTTTGCTGAAAATTGAATTTCGAAATTGACTCACTGTCAGATTGATCTTTTTTTTTGCAACTCTGTATATCTTTATCGCTAATTAGTTTCGATTATTTTAATCAACTTGCAAATATTCTTGATTTTATTTCCTTCAGGAAATTAGATATTTCCTGTTTGTATAAATTCTTTGAAGTGAAATCTCATTTTAAGAAGTAAAAATTGAGCCAGTCTTGAAACAGAGTGACTCAATTTTTAATCTTAAAGAACGAGATTATATTTTTCAGAATGAGAATTTACTTTAAAAGTTTTAGAGAGATAGTAGATAAACGCAATCTATATCATACTCAAACAAATTAATGTGCTATTAATAAAATTAATAAAATAATCTTAAAAAATAGAACTTGTATTAAAAGTCTTTAATTAAATGTATATTTACCAAAAATAAAAGCTAACTTTGTATTGAAAAAAATTTAATTCTTGATCTGATATTAGCAATTGAAATATTAAAACGACATTAATGATAATGATATCTGTCGAAGTTATCTAAAGGTAATTCAAATAAGATTCGCTTAGATAAAAACTGAAAGTGCTATCCTAATCGTATTATTAATAATACTATTACACTAATAAGAATTAATGGGAGACCAGAGAGATACGTTTCTGCTAACATAATAAGAGATACTTAAATAAAATCTGTATGTGTATAAAACAGTAATCCTGTATCATTATATCAATCGGCTACCGAGAGAAAGTGCGATAGTATGATATTTATCTCCTACGATATTTATTTTATTCAGCACATTTATTCATCCGGCATGTTTACTCTTGCATTACATTCTGCGCGAATGTAATCTCTTCAGCAATTTACATTCGTTACACTTTGTATTTCTACTATATAACTTAAAGATCGCTGATTTTACGTGCGTGAGCTTCTCGGACCATATCGCCGATCCGCCGAGGACTCGTGCGCTCAACTTTAGATATCGTGTGGCTGAACATTACATAAAGTCACGCGATAACGTCGCGCGATCCGCCCGTGCGACTTTAGGAACTCCTTCCTGTATAACGAGTCATCGTCGTTGTACCGCTTCGCTCGCAACGAGGCCGAGCGTCTCGAAATGTTCACTTCGTAATAGTAAAATCGTGATAATTGCGAACGCAAAGAGATATTTGTAAGAGTTAAATATTAAACAAACACTCTTCGCGATAAAAAAAAAAAAATAATAAGACGGTGCTAACAAATCCAAAATCGAAAATTTGCAATTCTTATATTTCATTATTTTATCAGACAAACTTCGGCTGTGATTTATGCATCAGGTCTTATACGAATATAAGAATATTTCATAAGCTTATTTAAAAATTTCCGAACGTATGTAATAATTAATCTTATTTATTAATCACATTAAAGTGATGTCGAAATGGCGGAAGACAGAACCATAATAGTTCTTCGCCTAAACCATCTTTCTCGGTTAGTTTAAACATTCATCACGTTTCGAAAACGTAACCAGACAGATGCGACTGCGATTTCGAAATTCAGGACGTCGACATCCTGACGTCGGCGCGAAAAGATATTGAATATCTACGCACGTGGCAGACTGAGCTCTATAAATATCTTTGCGCTATTTACGCGCCATTCCGGTAGCCCGTAATTAGCGCTATATATACAAATGTTGCTGTCGTGCTACTTTTGCATGCCTGACGCAAAACATGACATCTATTTTAAAGTGTCCATGCACTTGCCGCGATTGCGATTGCGTGAGAGTAGATCACGTAAATTGTAAGGAAGAGGAAGAGAGGGACGGCGGATTTTCATGCCCGAGAAAACCAAGCGCAGAATTTCATCCACGTTTCTCTCGGCGAAGGTATATACGTGTTCCTTTCACACGTCCTTCTTCACCTCGTTTCTGTCGCCGTATATTCGCGCACTGTCTCTTGAACGCACGCATGTAGGAATGTACACTCGACAAAGTAACAGGAATCGATCGGTACGCCCGGTATGGCTGGCATAAAACGACAAGTCCGGCTCGCCTATCGTCTCGCGATTTAACGGTAACGGGATCAAAGCTAACGACATTTCACTGCGTCTCGTTATAGCTTTTTAAAGTTAAGGGATGTTGTACGATATGAGAACATGAACACGAAAGATTTAGCGTCAATCATCTAAATCGCTCTTCTAAGAACTTCAGAAAATAAATTTCAAAATCACGAAGATGAAGTTTAATTAAAATTTGACCTAGTTTTCAAATAACAATATAAACTCTCTAAATCTGAATCAATAGATAGTCATTAATTACCCAGTGACATACTTGACACTGATAATCAGTGAAGTTCAGTTAAAAAAGGAAGAATATTTTAGCATTAATAATTAAAATACTGATATTTGCACATTAATTTCAATCTTCCAATACTATATTCATTGAATTTAAGCACTAAAACAAGATTAGTTAACATCATAAAAATTAGCTTAGGAATCTCTCATTTAATTCACTTGATCATCAGTGGCATACTTGGCACTGATATCAGTGATTATCCATTGATTCAGATATAGAGAGAATCAAATTTTCAAGACAATCTCAAATTAAATTTAATTTTCTGTTTCCTCGAATTTTTGAAAGCAAGTGCTAATCATTTAATTGATTAAAGCGTTCATATTCAAAATATTCTCACGTCGTTTTGCATTGAATATTTTTTACCTTCTCTCACTATCTCTTTCTTTCTACAAAGCAATTCGGCTGCTCGCCTAAACATAATTCGCTTTCTCGCCTGGGAATTCGTGATCACGACAACGTATAAATAGAATATGTTCTTTCCGCGTGGTCTTTCGCCTCTTTTCTTTACCGCCTATTTCTCCCGACCTTTCTTACTTACGACATGCGTCTGGTAATTAAGTTGAAACATGCACGGAGCCGGAGAAAAAAGGCATCGCATAAACTGAAAGAGACACGGTCTGAAAGTTTAATAACCCAATAACTAAAAGAATCATCGAAAGAAACTGATAATATCACTGATTCTTGTTCTTGTAATCATATAAATAAATTTAAATATTTATTCATTATTTATAGTACACTCTAAATCTGTAGCAATGAAATTTCAATACAGGCATTAGTGGCAATTACGCCAATGTTACTGCCAGTGAATTTTACTGCAAGATGAGAATGGAAAATCCATTCGATAATTGGAGTGAAGAATTTATTCCAAAAAGGAGTTAATTTGGTTAGAAACCAAATTAATTCCAAAATCAGATAACAAAGTCCACGGAGATAAATTTTGAACAGGAGCATACTATCAATCTATCAACCTATTAATCTTATTTTTAATTTTAAAAAAAATTTAACAAAAATTATATACATTAAATTTAATCTATCTAATGGTAAAATAATGGTTTAATAATATAATGATATACACGTATATAATTTTGACAAACGATAAACATGCACAAATGACATAACGGTGCGCTATGTCGCTAAATTCCCTTCTTTATGTAAGAGTAGATAGTAAGTAGTAACATTCAGCAGTAACATTCAATGCATCTTGCAATGCATTATCAACTAATGCTTAAATCACTTCGATTTAGATTAATTTCAAAGCAGTGAAAATCCATACTTAAAGCAATGACTTTGCTACTCACTTTTGTTAGCAGTAAAATTTTCATTGCTACAAATTTAGAGAACTATTTACATTTTTAGTTAAATTTTTGAAAATGTTTTTTTTTTTAAAAAAAATCATCTGTTTTTTAATCAGCTTGACCCACATATTGCTTTGACACTTATCCTTATATTCGTGAGTGCCTGTATAAATTATACAATATTTAATAAGATTAATAACATTTTCGATTTAATATAAATTCAATGCTTTTATTAATTTTTATCTGCCAATGACGTAACACTTGAGAAAAGATAAATGGTCGCTTTAACATGTCACACAATCGAATTCTTAATTACCTATGCCGGTTCACTGATAACTGATACTAAGCATACGTCCTTGCATTCGATCGAGTCATTCCTCATGCAACGTTGTTTCCTCTATTGCAAAACAACAGTTAATACGGCAACTACGGTAACACTATAGTAGGAAAAGACCTCTCGAATCGTCCGATAATTGCAGTTTAAATATTCGATAAATTCCCGTTACACACTGACATACTTCTTCGTGGGAATTTTACTCGTCGACAAAACGATTGTCCCCTCTCCTCCTCTCAAAAAAGAACATTACTTGCATTCCCGATTATTGATATAGCCAATTTTGTACAAATAATAATTGGGCAAATCCAAAATGCAAAAACTATTATACAAAAATTAAAAAAAAACTTAAAAAAAAAGAACTCTTGAATTCCTTAGTTACGAATTGAACATTTTAAACTGTGTCAAAACCTTAAAAAGTATGTTAAACCGTATAAAATCAAAAGAGAAAAGTGAATAAAGTAAAAGAAGTTAAAGCTAAAAATTTCTACTTTATACTTTGACTAATTTAAATTTACTAATTTTTTTTATTTACTATTATATTATTTTTTATGAAACTCATTTTGCAAATTTTTCTATTATATTTAATATTTTATTTTTATTTAAATTTAAAATAAATATAAAAGAGGAGAAAGCGTTGCATTTTTTCATGTAATGATTTGTAATATAGGATGTAATTTTTTGTATTAATACGATAATACAAGTGCTCTTTAAAACCTTAAAAACTTTTATATTTACTATTTCAATTTTATTTCATTCAATGACTTATTTTTTAATTTAATTGATTTTGCATCAACTTTTCCGTTTCAAAATTAGCTAAATCTGTTTTCAGTTCCAAAAGCAGTCAAATACATTGTATTTTAATAAACAGAAATTATATTTCTTATGTCATATTATATACATTTAATTAACTAAAACAATAAATTTTTTTTAATTGAAAAAAGATTTTTTGATAACTTAAGTGACCATAAAATTATTCAAATTTTTTTCTCCCCAAAAAACATTTTAAAGATAGACATTTTGGAGATAACTATTTTTGCAAATAGGCTACTTAATTTATCGTGTCTCTTTCAATTCTATTCACTTATAGACGTATTCTTAAATTCTAAATGGTTTCGCATCGTTTTCTATTCCTTACTGTAATCTCAACAACTAATTGTGAAACGATTAGCGAAGTAACTTGTAACGCCGTTACTTCTTTATCATTACTCTGTTATAATAACGATGTGGCAACGTTCAATTTTTTTGTGAACTGTAATAGTAACATCAGAGATCGAAAGTCACTCGATCGTTACTTGTAACAAAAAAAAGTGAAAAAGTCACTCGTCACGGGAAAAATTAATTCGACATTTATAACTCGTTATTTTTTTAGTTACAAGTAAAGTTACTCGTTGCAAATTGCCTTTTTCAGTAAGTAAACGCGTGATGATGCAAGTAACTTTTCAAAGTAAACTTTCCCAACCGTAGCGTAATTTCAACGTTTAGTTATCATTCTAGTTAAAAATTGCAACAATCAAATTATTATTATAAAAAGTAACGGAATAGTAACTCTTCCATTCACTGGAAACGATACCTTTGACATTAACTGATTGTGAATCTTATCTATGTAGATAGAAACGTATATATAAAATATGTATGACTTACCCGTGTGTCTAAAATTTCCATTATCTTCTCCTTTGCTGATCGTACATCATCTAGTCGTCCTGCGACTTTTATATGCGGATCTGCGAAAAGAAGGTAGAAAATCTAATTACGGTGACGATCACGTGGGATACGCGTGGGAGTATAAGGGAACGTAAACGGCGGCAACGAGTCGCGCCTTTATTATACTGAGCAATCAATTATAATTGACCTCGTTAATTACACGTTACGCGACTAAACTTCATACCGTGCATAACAAAATAAGCGATTAGTCCGAAATAATAGCTTCCGTTTTAACTGACAAATAAAAAACATAAAATAAACACAGAGAAAGTACATTTACATTTTCCTTCTTTAAAAATATTTTCTACATATGTCTTTCGGATTGACTACATATGTCACACAGTGTTTTCACATATATTTTTTTCAGATTGACTACTATAGTATAAGTGCCTCAGGCAAAGTGGGTTAAGCTAAGACAAAGAATTTTCGTCGACATGCCATCGAGTTTGACCGACACCGAATATATGTCCACCGACATAAACAGTCATCGACTTTTGTGTATCGTCAGAAATGTTTGTTACGCGCGATTTGAAAACAAAATATCCATAAAACTGGGTGAAACTCGAGGTGAAACTGTTTCCTTATAAAGGTCGACGAACTCAGACGCGCTTCAGACATATGTAACCAAGGCGCCAAAAGCCTGCAGCGACGTATACAGTTATATCGGTTCAATGAAATTGGAGACACAAAACGGTGGTGTATGTTGAATACATACTATCGGTTAATCTTGACGTCCATGAACGTTATTGGCAAAGAGTTCGTCGATGATTTTAATGCGAAAGAAATCACGCGCAGGGCCTCGAAGATAGAAAGACACCGCTGGCGACTGCAGAAAATCCGATACCACACACATACAATCGATAGCTATTTTGAAGTCAGTCTTAGTATTCGCAACGTTTGCTTTTTCCTGAACGCGAGGCCTTCGACTGTATAACGTGTTCCAAAGTCGAGTGCGACGCGTCATTGACGCTGTATAATGATCGCACGTGCGCGTTTCGCTTATTAATTCGATCCTTGTCACGCATGGATGAGACTCGATAGTTCATCTATTACCGATTATCAAAAATTAGAAATCAATCATTAAATATAAATAGATATACGCGCGAAATGGAAAATCATCGATCGATACGTTCAAAAATGCGTGTAAAATGTGAGTTTTAATAGAGAGAATCGACGTTTTTTCGAAAATTTCGCTAATAATCTAGTTATATAATTTGTCTTACTTTTATTTTTCTTCTTTAAACATAACAAAATTCTAGCGCATAACTGTATAATGAGATTTTAATTTTGTATTACTCTCAAGTGGATTTGGTTTAACAGAGAAATTAGATTGAATATCCGATTATTAAAATATGATTTTAGTGATATTTTTCCATACAGTAGAATTGAGAATTATTTTGAGATTTTGGCAATAATCGAATTCTATTCCCGAACGAAGAATCCTCTGCGCAGAAAAAGAAAAACAGTTTTCGGAATTTCGCAATCAAAACAACGATACTATATCGCATAATTGTGAAGCAGCTTCTTATCTCCTTCTTCTTATCTCTCCTTAATTATGTAAGAGATATCATGGAAAATAACGCAATACTTGAGTAATGTGCTTTTGAAAATCGGAATCCGATTAAATTCACGACTATAAGCACTTAGCTGATATCTAGAAACAGCGTTATAATGCGATCATCTATCGGTCCTCGCGACACAATCCGTGATTATTTTTAGAATCGACGCAACGGTAGCACGCTGACTCTTCGAGTGCAAGACTTTGAGGCCTGACCTGACCTCTTTAGCGCCGAGCATAGAAAGTAGATGAATCCTGTTTGCACAAAGCGATAAGGAGTGTCGGCTGCCGTTGCGGTAACAAGAGAGGGGCAGTATCGGAGGCTCGACTGATTATCTGAATGATACAAGGTGTTCCTTAATATATGATGTGTACACTGCTATGTTTCACGATAAATTCACGTATAATGCATACAAACAATGATAACAATGATATACTTACGAGGCGTAAAAGCCATGATAACTGTCATACTTAAAATATTTTCGTGTCTGGATATATTGAAATTTAATAATCAAATTATTTTTCAAATTATTTTTAATTATTAAATAACTTTTTAACGAATATTTATAATATTTAGTAAAGATATTTATAATATTTAATAAAAGATAATTTTAAAAGTTGTCCTTTTATGCTATTGCTTTATATATTTCTATTCGTCTATTGAATTCTCACGGCTAATCTATGCTCTGTAAAATTGTAACGAATTTAAGCAAAACTTTCCCTCGATTTCACGATAATCTTATAAATTTTCTCGATTTAGATCAAAAATAAAACCAGTTAAATAATTTGATGAAGCAGCAACATTACAAAGTCACGCGATAGTTGGTTTTTAAATTTTGTTGTTTATTTCACACGCATCGTTCAATACAAATTGACTAAATATAACTATGATGTGACGGGCAAACGGAAAACTGGCAATTTATTGAGAAATAATCACAGCTCTAATTATACAATTAATCCAACCTTGTTATCTCTTCACCTATTTTATTCTTCAATTTAAACTTTTCGATATAAAATTCATTTTGTAAACCAGATGTAAAAACTTATTATATGATTTAATTTAATAATACAATAATAAATTTAATTTTTGTTTAAATTCAATTTATTAAATTGAATTAATCAAATAAAAGAGATGTATGTCTTTCAGTTTTACTGATACATTGGATAACTTTACTGTATTTCTAGAAGATTACCATCCAATCCAGGCACAAATATCATGCTAAGTAATAGTCATTATAATTCACAACTCTACACCATCATATAGTTATAAATGTCTACAAGAGAAAAAAGTTACATGTAGTCTTATCACTCAAAGAGTAGCGTGGCTTACGTGACTCGCGACACATCGACATCTTCACGCAGCGAAGAATTAGAACGGCTGCGTGATACTGATTGACGCTTAATTCGATCACAGACAATTATCCGGTTGGTTAGGTTGAACTAGAATCTCGCTGATCTCGCTGCGCAAAATTCACGACAGCTTCGAGAGCGGGTCAAATCACAAGGTGATATCCTATCACGACGGGGGAGATAACTCGATAATATCTATTAACCCTGAAGAGTGCATGATGTGAGTCAATTTAACTCATTCGTTGCCTCGAATGCAAATTTCGAGTCTTTTACGTCTATACTAGAGTACTTATTGCCAATTGTGATTTGTTATAAACTGCGAAATCACATATTGAAATATATACGGAATGACAAGTTCATAGACTTTTTACTCAAATTTACTAAAATTTTTCCAATTAGAGATTACTGGATCAATTTGTGGAATTATTCATAAATATAATTTGATTGAATTTTTTTTTATATTATAGTCATATTAATCCGATTACGTTAGTCAAAATTTTATTTATGATAAAATTCACTTAAAAAGATGACAATTTAGTGAATGAAATACTTGAAAAAGAAATCTTTTTTATATATCGCACTTGCTTCATAAAAATGAAGCATTTTTCATCTAATTTATTTGGAAGATATAAATATATACCGTATATTATAATGTAATTAATGTAATACTATATTTTTAAATTGTTATTTAAGTTAGTTGGAATCTTCACATATAATAGCAATCATTTTAGAACATTCTATATAGCTTTAAAAAAGTATGTACTCAAGTATGACACATCTGAACATACATACATGAAATAGATATATCAAACAGATCCAAGTAATATTCCACAAGCAAATTTCTATGGAATTTAAACTCTCGCGACAGATTCTTGCGTTATCATTTGGCCGTCATCGACGTTTCCGCGATTACATAAAAGAAATTATTATAATGAAACTTGTGAATAACCCGTATCATGCATCTGCATCACACTATGTGAGCACTTTTGTTTTTATGGACTTAAGTATACGTGTAAGATAACTCATACATTCTAATGATAATTTAAAGTCATAACGAGCCTCGGAATACAAGTTTATTTATATCCGATTACATAGACTATCATACGATTGGATTTGTAAAATAAAGAAAAAGAAAGCGACAGAGTGAAAGAGATAAAGAGAGAAAATATATATGCAGCAGCTGTTTAGGTCACGAGGAAGGAATGAATCACCGAAAAATTTCCACAAGGTCCGATCGCATAAAACGACGACACCGTTTGAAGCGGACGAGAGAATTCTCTGGATCGATTCACATATCACAATTTATGTATCGAGAAATTAATGACGAATAGACGATGAATTAATTTTACAATCGATGTGAAGAATAATATGAATGAGTAATTAATTATGGCAAATCTAGAAACTTCGAATTTTTATATTTCCGCCCTTTCGATCTTTTTGAAATTTTTATTGTGATATCTTTTGATTCCCAATTATTTTTAGCGACTCGTTAAAAATTCATCGATTATCAAATTAATATTTCATAGTTGAGAGATAATATTGTATTATAAAAAAATTACTGTTCTTTATTTAATTATGTTCATTATTACTATGTTACAACACACACACACACACATACATTAATTATTGTTATTACTTATGTTCACTCGCTTATATCTATTAGAATTTCACAAAAAATATGAATTGAAATTTTTATTAAAATTCGAAAATATTAAATTTATAATTTCAATTAAATTGAAAATTTCTTTTAAAGTTTTCTCATAAGTTGCGGTGTTGTATGGCTCGAATTAATCTCGAGTTTCGCGAGGTATGCAAATTTTTTTCTACAGCCAGTGATGAAACTTTAAATAATGATCATAAAGCCACGTGTGTAAAACGTCAGCTGACGAAGAGACATGACCGATCACTCGATTGACGCAATCCACGAACAACGCGTATTCGCACGACTACGCACGAGTCCAAATGCGAAGAACGTACGAAGAATCACGAAGGATGATTTTTGCGTGTTTTTCCTACGAGTATAATATTCCAAGGACGTACGATACACCGAATCTGAATTCCACATCATCCTCGAACTATCGATAGCTTCCGCTTGCACGCTTATTTCGTATTATTCTCTCGTTTGTCACGATAAATATACAGCAGTTATTTCCGAATTTGTGAAATACTTATATTAGGTGGATTTTGAATAATCGATAAAATAATCGATGAGATAAGAGATTTACATATTACTCCTTCTCTTTCGCGCGTTATTAATAATTTTAGAAGTAATTATTTTTAATTAGTAAATACAATTCACTTGGAATGTGTGTGAACGTTAAGATTAAATTTCTTAAGATTAAATAAAAAAGAAGACATCATCAGTCTAATCGTACTTTGTACCTTTGCACTCGTTAATGGATTTTGTCGGTGTCAGACAACGGTGACAATATTACGTGTCCGAATAGTTAAAATGAATCAGTTATTTTAGAAAGAGAGTTGCTCTCAAATTTCCATTTGTCAGAAAAGTAAACATTCATATATATTGTATTAATGAACCCTAAAAATATTCCGCCATGTCAGAGTCTATTGTGTAACCATCCCAATAGCTCAAATAACGTCTTTCTTACACAAATATATAAAGCAAGATTTATTTCGGTTATTGATTTAATACCTAAAATTTCAGATATTCCTATGGAGTAGTTTCTAATTTAATTCATAATATTTGTACAGTACGAGAGTACAATTTTCTATTATCTATTGTTATTGACATGTTCACAAAATCTTTTCTACAAAATTTTTTCTAAAATACAATCTGTAACAAATTGCTTTTAAAATAGATTCAATCGATCGATTGCTTACCTTTCTTTGACTTTGCGCCGATTTTCAGTCTTGATGGCCATGTAACAATGGTGTTTGTTCTCTCCATAACCTGGAACAATACAAAATCGCTATTGTTATGCACCGTATAGAGAATAATTCATTCGGAAAATAATTCATTTTACATAGATATTTTTCATTCATAATTTAATAATAGAAACACAATGCACTACAAAGTATCCCAAAGAGATTTCGAAATATTTTCCATCTTTGTTCTTTTTTTGCAACTTTAGGCAATTACTAAACTTGAACATAAACTTCCAGAAGTAAATTATTTGTTAATTATATAACGAGCGATATATCTTTAATATTTTTTTAAAATTACAGATTCATTTTCTGTATAACATTTGTTCGATGATTCGACTCATTGTTTAAAAACTTCTTATCAATTTTTCAGATTATCTCGCTTTCTACGTAACCTTCACGAATATTTAATCTCCTCGACACGTAGCTTTTACTTATCAAAGTTTGCTTATCATTACATTGACTGTTATTCACTTTCTGGAACACAATCCTTATCATTCCGAGATTTTATCAATTTCCTAGTTGTCGTATTTTTTATATGATTTTTCGAATATTTAATTTTTTACACACCTGCTCCCAATTTTGGATAAACATGTCTACCTTTGACTATGCGTTTATCATGAAGAAATCATAAATATAATTTGCATTATAAAATATAAAAAAATCATTAGTATGTTTTTTAATCTATTATTATAATTAATTTATTCTTTAATCGATGGTATTAAATTGCAGTGAACATTTAGAATTTATAAAAAATCTAAATGGATTTATTAATTAACTTTTACATAATTAAGATTACGAAATAATTCTTTTTTCTTAATGTTAAGAAATCTTTTCAACTACAATCTCTCATCTGCATAATATTTAATTATTATTCTCATTATTAGAATTTTAAAAAGATTACAATAATAATGATCCAATTTTAGTTGAAAAGAAATTTATTCTAAAATTATTGAAGATTTTATATAATATATGAAAGAACATCACAAGTAAAAATATTTTTTTGCATGCAATTTCTATTTTGAATTCGAATCTTCACCTCTCCGAGTTATTAACTGTCTGCATGTAATTTCTAAGTTTAGACAAAAGATAACTATTTTTAGATACAGTCTTCCTCACGTAACTTCTAGCTTCGAAGAGAAACTTGACTGTCTTAACTATGAATTAAATTAAATAAAACTCAGAATAATTTTATCATTTGTTCTTCAAAACTTAATCATTAAACTGGAATAATTGAAATCTAATGTGTGTATTATTAACTAGAATTTAATATTAATTCTCTAGATCATAAATATTCCAATCACAACTATCGTTAAATGTAATTATTTTTCCGAAAGAATATTACATGCAATCTTCATATGAAAGAGAAAACTTAAAATTGAGCGAACACAATGTGAGCTACTAAAAATTCTAATTCGGAATTACGACATTTATCATTACCACGGTCATTTTTTCGTTGAATATTAGTCTCTCAATTGTCGATGTTCAGCTGCGAAAAGGTCTTCGATCCTCGCAGTCAAAACGAAAAGAAAGACAATAAAAAGTAATAGTCAAAGAGTAAATTTCTACAAGACGAGAACGCGTTTCACAGTTATCACTTATTAAAAGCTCTATGCAATACAGAGCGACCTCGAGAGTGGGAGGTGAATGGATCACGATAACTTTCACGATAACGATAACGGGTCACTTGGCTGAATTCTTATAGTCACTGAAGCGCTAATTGCACTGCGGATGAATCGAGTCGCCAGATTTACTTTCACTCCAGCCACTGCTGATCGCAGTAAAACATCCCGGAAGATCATGCGGTCGCTAATTAACTGATCTTTCCACCTCGCGACGTAAGTAATTGTCTCCGTGAGTTTGTCGACCTCACGCTCGACCTCGTCAAAGATCCGGCGATCTCCGACAACGCGAGAATTCGAACTGCCTTGTAACTACTTTACGTCGAAGACCATCGATCGATCGATCGTGATTCCTAGCTCCGATTACATTTATCAGGTGGCACTCTACTAACTCTACTTCATTTCGTTGTGCGATATACGTGTGGATCACTTAAAAAATACTACGGTTTTAATTGTTTTTCAAATTTTCCCCTTTCGAACTTGTTTACAACCAGGTTCCACCCGCAAAGCACATAGAGTTTCGAGCCAGGATTCTTTTTTTACGGCAAAATACTTGTCGTCGAATCATAAGATCACCGCGGGATCACTGGCACGAAAGGAAACTGACTAACTGACTAACGCGAGATAATATAACGGGTCGGTCCGGTCGAATCACCTCCCACTACGTTCTCCAACTCCCGCCACTAGTCGCGACTTCACTTCACTGCGCACCATGTTGGCCTCTCGTCATCGCGACCCTGCCTCCGCGAATCCCACTTCCTCACCTGGAAGCTTTGCGAGCCTCCGCTTGCTTTACAAAGACAAATTAAGACTAATTGTAAGACGGTTAAAGAATATACAGTTCCGGTCTGATAGGCATTTCAAATCTTCCTATTGTTACGATTTTTTTTTTTTTTTTCCCCGAAAAGACTGAGGATCGCTTAAAATAGAAGAATTAAATATTCAAGAATATTCAAGAAGAATCTCGAATATTTTTAAGCGATGTAGCTTCGATGAGTTTCAAGTATTCTCACGTACTCAAAAATTATAAACAAGAATCTACACGATTTTTAGGAAATTCGATTTTTTTTTTAAACTTATCAATATGAATATTGCAACTTTTTTATTTGACATAATACAAATTTATATGATCGAATTCTAAACACATTTTTTCGACTATCAAATAAAATCTCCCGGTTAATCTAGAATAACATATGTTATAGTAGATCATATAGTATGATCATTTTATTCTGTCAAGACACACGTGTGACGTGCGCGTTTTAATGATACGCGACAACCTTTAAACTTTCATGTAATAATAATGTGGACCTGCGCGCGTCCGAAGTGCTTGTATATTTTTTGTTTCTTAAATTATCCTAAATTATTAGATATTAAATATTAAAATTTAAATATCTAACTTACCAGAAACATGTCTGCGAAATGAAAAATCGTCTCTTTCTTTGGAAAAATCTAGATCACAACAGATATGGTCGGAACGTCCAATTTTTCCTCGAATTCTCTTCTCACTCACAGTATAAGTTATTCGAAGATAATGTTGTAATACAAACAGACACTGTAGATACTATATCAGTACAAATATCCGCAATTACCGGCTTATATATTAGCCTATCTATCGTTGCGAAAAAAGGTCAACACTTTTAATTACAACACAGTTAGCATAGCACATTTCCGTTATAATTGCGAAGACATAAAATGCCCTGACTTATAACTATAATCAAACTATAATTTGCATTACGTACTTTCTGTACAACGAGTACGGAAAAAACTAGAAGCTACTCCGATCTGCTACTCTAACAACGAGCTACCTGTCTTGACTAGGACACTTGCAATACTGAACTGAGCATTACTATGTAGGTTGGTCAAAAGGCTAGACGTAGGTAGTTCGTTTTTCGGGGGTTGCATTGTGTGGAGGTTCTGAAAGGCGTTTCTCTAGAAGCCGAAAGGAAGCTGATTGGATGGCAATTTTTGCTGAGCAACTAACTGGTCATTGATTCAAAATTTTGTATAGGGGGAGGAGGGGGAGCTTTTTAAAAAATTTTTATCTAGAAAATAAATATTAATTACTTAATTATTTGTCATATGTAATAACGTTCTATTCTAATGTATCTAAACAAAAAAGCTTCACAAAAATAATCGTATTTATGAATCTTAGAAATTCTAAAATTCTTGAATTGTATGAATATTTTTTATACGTCTAAATAATACAATTTTTTATTTTTCATTATTATTAATATACTTACATTTTTTTTAATTATTAAATTATTTTATTGAGATGATTATTAAATAATTTGTTAATTAATTGTTAATTATTTCTTTTTATATTATTTTCTAAAAATAAGTTTTTTTTTAATTAAAAAAAGATATCTCCCGTGTACCTTTCGCACTCACTGTAAGTATATGTATATAAAACACAACCACTCTTTCACATTATCGTATTTACATGCGATATAAAGCAGTTTTTGCTGCAATGTTTATAGCACGATAGTGATTGTAACAACAATTGCAATTACAATGCAGCGGTAATAGCTGCAACAAAGTTGTACATAGATATCTCAGCACTCAACTTTGAATATTTGACATCTACAACTCCATAAACTTTTGCACACTATCATAAATTCTTAAAAATCCTACCTCTATAAATCAAAGGAACTTAGGAGATAAGATAAACTTTCGCTTGTTGAAACTCATAAAAACGATGAACAGTGATTTTCTGAATATAAAGCTTACTTCTTTTTCAAGTTTAACATTTTCTTGTAACAAATATTTTAAGAAATGTGAAACCAAAATTTCTTTTTTTTTTTTATTTATAGTAACAAATTTTTTTTCATCTTTGTTTATTTTGTTACAAATTTTTTTATCAAGGTTTGTATATTTAAATATGCTCCAACATGCTCCTATTATAACACTCACTTCAATGCGCTTGTTAGAATGAGTAAATAGTATTGCTGTAAAAAATAAAATATTAAATGTTAATTTTAATTTGCGTGCTCAGAAAGTCCACTATATGTCTTTAAATTAAAATTAACATTTTACTTTTTACAGTGTAGAAACATGTTAAAATACGTTGAAACATGCGATGTGAACAATAAATCTTAAGCTATTATCAAAACAATTGACAATTTTTCCTTTGACCATTAAATGACCTTTTCTTTGACTATTAGAAAGCGAAAGAATCGATTTTTGAAAATTTACAACTTTTTCCTTAGTAAGATTGATTATAATTCGTTGTATTCTTTGCTTTAAATTATGGTATCGTTTCTAGACAATTACAGCACTTCTTTGTCTTATTAAGGTTAGCAATTCATTTTTAGTAAATCTTCAAAGAAACTTATACACTATTGTGAAAAAACTATTGTGAAAAAACTGTCATTAATTTGATGATGGCTTATTGATAACACTGGTTGAT